ACAGTACCACCACCTCATTGTCGACGTAAAAAACCGACGATTGATCGACGGGAAAACACAGCTGGTAACTAACGCTCAACTCAGTACTTCGGGCATACCTACAGTTCGCAGTATAGACATTGGGCAAAATTACCACAGCATACTAGCAGATTTCCCAGGCACAACTAGACTCACTTCAATGAAGCTTAGTCCTAAGCATTCCGTCGAACACTTCATTGAAACAAATGGACCGCCTCTTCACTGCAGGCCACGCCCCATTGCGCCGCATCGCTACGAAATGGTCAGGAAAGAATTTCAGAACATGATAAATCAAGGGTTATGCAGACCAAGCAAAAGCCCTTGGGCATCACCTCTTCACGTCGTGCCTAAGAAGAGTGGAGAGTTACGCGTGTGTGGCGATTACCGAAGGCTCAACGCTATAACCAAGCCCGATCGGTATCCCATACCACGCATACGTGATTTCACATACCAACTCGCAGGGAAGAAAATTTTCTCCACACTCGACCTCAACCGCGCGTACCAACAACTGCCAGTCAGCGAGCAAGATGTGGAGAAAACAGCTATCATAACACCATTCGGCCTTTTCGAGTTTCCGCGTATGTGTCCTGGTCTAAAGAACGCCGGCCAGACATTCCAACGCTTTATTCACGAAGTACTGCGCGAACTCGACTTCGTATTTCCTTTTGTTGATGACCTACTCATCGCGTCAATAGACGAGGAAGAGCACCGAAAACATCTACGCACCGTATTACAGCGACTAGAAGAATACGGCATTACTATCAACCCATCAAAATGTGTTTTCGGTCAGCCAACTGTCAAATTCCTCGGTCATCAAGTCACGGCGGAAGGGATACAGCCACCCCAAGAGAAGGTACAGGCTATCACAGATTTTCCAAAGCCACAAACCGTAGAGGAACTGCGACGTTTTCTCGGTATGATCAACTTTTACCGCGAAAATATCAAAGATGCCGCCACCATACAAGCGCCGCTAAATACTTACCTGCACAACATCAAGAAGCGTGACAAAACTAAGATCGACTGGACCGCTGAATCGACGCAAGCTTATGAAGCATGTAAAGAGAGCATAAAAAACGCCGCTTTACTCGCTCATCCGTCTCACCATGCGACGCTTGCTATATTCAGCGACGCGAGTGACAAAACAGCTGGTGCCGCACTCAACCAGTTTATCAACGACTCGTGGCAACCACTCGGCTATTTCTCGAAGAAATTCAGCGACGCACAGACTCGCTATAGTACTTACGATCGAGAGCTACTCGCCATCTACATGGCTGTCAAACATTTTCGCAAAATGTTCGAGGGACGAGAAATTATAATATTCACGGACCACAAGCCGCTAACATTCGCTTACACCAAATCAAATACAAACAGCGAATCACCGAGACGCACCCGACAGCTACTTTATATCAGCGAATTTACCACTGATATACGACACGTCAGTGGGTCTCAAAATGCAGCCGCAGACGCATTATCACGCATCGACGCAATCACATGTCCATCGCCGATCGACTACAATCAACTTGCAATAGCTCAAGAGCGCGACAGCGATACCATTAAAACACTCGGTTTACAGAGCAACTTATCTTTCAAGGAAGTAAACCTGCCCGCGTCAAACATCAAATTACTCTGCGAAACTTCGACCTCATACATACGTCCGTACCTACCTGAAGAATACCGACGTACCGCATTCGACGCAGTACATAACGTTAGCCACCCTGGAATAAAGACCACGAGGAAATTAATTACGCAACGATACTTTTGGCCTTCAATGAACGCAGATGTCGGCAAGTGGGCAAAAGTATGCCTACAGTGTCAGCGCGCTAAAATACAACGCCACACAACAAGTCCATTATCAATTTTTTCACCAACCGAACGATTCGAACACGTTCACATCGATATCGTTGGTCCGCTACCTACCGCGGCCACCGGTCATCGATACCTTGTGACAATGATCGACAGAGCGACGAGATGGCCCGAAGCATACCCATTATGCGAAATAACAGCTGAAGACGTCGCCAAAGCAGTGTACGAAGGTTGGATTTCCCGTTTCGGTTGCCCTGCTACAATAACAACGGACCAAGGACGCCAATTCGAAAGCAGAGTATTTGCATCTCTTTCTCGCTTACTCGGAATTGACAAAACACGTACAACATCATACCATGCACAGTGTAACGGTATCATCGAAAGATGGCACCGTGTCCTTAAGGCCGCATTAAAGGCAAGACTACAGACCGCAAGAAGCTGGATCAACGAGTTACCAACCGTCCTACTCGGATTACGCGCCGCCATGCGAAGTGACACCGGCGTAAGCGCCGCCCAACTTACCTACGGATGCAACATACGCTTACCCGGTGATTTCTTATCAACGACCCGCGATAACGTCATTATGGACTCTGCCTACATCGATCAGCTGCGCGACGCAATACGTAACTTGCAACCAATGCCTAACCAACCACACGGCAACACAAAACCTATATTCATACACCGCGACCTGCAGACATGTGAATACGTATTTGTACGCATAGACGCCGTAAAGAAGCCGTTACAAGCACCCTACGACGGACCCTATCGCGTACTGAAACGAGACAGCAAGATATTCACTCTGCAGTTACCTAACCGTGAAACAAACATCTCTATTGACAGACTCAAACCCGCCTACACTATCGCCGAGCCAGATGTGCCCACTGACACAATACCGAGTACCTGCAACAAGCAACTCACATCAAGTGCGAGCGAACTACATAAACCATCAAATAGCCTAAAACATCAAAACGACAACAACCTGAAACATCAAAACGATAACAACCTGAAACATCAAAACGACAACAACCTGAAAAATCAAAATGACAACGACCTGAAACAACAAGACATTGGGAACAACTCAATACCTACAAGGACAACTCGCCGAGGCCGCGTTATACGCCTGCCGGTACGCTTCGCTGGAGGGGAATCCTGTAGGTGATTGATTAACGTGTCGTAATGAAACAGTGATGTGCTCTGACAAGAACACATCAGAATAGATACGGTCGTGTGTTCTGAAAAGAACAGTTTCATCGTGTCGTAGGACACGGTAATATGTCCTGACAAGGACAGTTGTTAAACGTTTTGTCGTGAAACAAGAATAATATGTCCTGAAAAGGACAGTTGTAGACGTTTAGTCGTGATACGATAATTTGTCCTGAAAAGGACAGTTATTAGCGTTATCGCAAGGTTACGATATCGAAGTGTTCTGAGAAGAACACGTTCGTACGCTTCGACGGCTGCGTGCAGAAAAAGGCCAACTTTTGCCGCGCCGTGTTTTTATCGCCTAGCCTGGTACCTGCGCAACCAACCAACGCTCCGCATCTTGGCACCACATGTCAATATTAGTTGTAAGTGTAGGATAATTTTTAAGTATAATTGTACACAGTTTTGTAAATAAATATCATTCATTATTCCATCTTCACCTCTTCTCTACAAGTAATTAGGGAGTTTTATTTTAACATCGACCAAATAATTCTGGAGCAATCAACCCTCAAGCAACATCCCTAAACATACATTGTTTTATTAAAACATTTCAATAAATTATTAAGTTAGCCTGCAGGACTTCAAATTATTCCGCTTATAATGCAAATTTTTATTTACTGGCAATACTAATATCCATGATGGACGCTATTACCGACCAAAAAAAGTATACAGTGGCACTGTAAGTTATTGTTATTTACTACAAGTTGAAATCTAACTTAGACTACGACAACTGTCAAAGGTATTTTAAAATCTCTCATGTATTTGAGTTTTTTAAACCTAAAAAGCTTTATTAGCAATCGTAGTTTGTTGCCATGGTTACGAATCCATTCAATAGACACGCTTTAGGTTCAGTAACGAGACTTGTATGTCAAAATCCAAAACGTTTTTGACATACGAACTTGGCCATAAATCTCGTTTCTGAATATCCTTAGGGTGGTACCAGACGGTATTTTCGAGTAGTGAAACTCTTAATTTCATACAAAAATGTTATGTACTTTGAAAAAGACGTTAAAAAACCAGGTCATGATATAATCAGTCCATAGTGAATAACAAGGCACAAATATTTTTATTGGTCCCAAAACGTATATAATATATTACAATATTGTACTTAATATTATGGCTTTTACACAATGGTCAAAATCTCAAAATTAAAAGGAGCCGTTTTCTGCCGATAGGTGGCGTTAATTTCAATATCATAATTTAAGTGAAAACGCGTTTTAAGCGTGAACAGTGGCGTAATATCGCACACTGGAAACGACTCCTTGTCATACAGAAATTCATTACCGAGTACGCCCGTAAAATGTATAATTGGTAAGTTTGTTAATTTTGATTTAATGCTAACCCGTTGACTATCCGGGTATTTTAAATAACTAATTGTCTGGGAGCGAATTAAGATTTTCAAATAATCTAATTTTATTTTATATTTTAGTCTATGAATAGATTAAAAAAGGATTTAGGATTTATCTTCTATGTAAAGTTTACTTATCTGTGGTTAGCCTTGGGCTTGACACAAATCACCTATCGTCCTGACTCAAACACTAAACAACATTGTATGGGACTGCTTCTCACACTTTGTCACGTGACCATACAACTTTGTTTGGCGTTTATGGCGATTGTCAAAAAATTGATTCTGTCACAATCTCGTCTCGTCAATGTCAAACTTTAGAATGGTTAATCTCGATACTATATTATTTATGTTCTAGAATACATTCAATCCAAGTTTTGACAAATACATGGTTTTAATTGACAGAAAATATTAAAAAATTGATTACATATTTATAAAATAGTCTAAATTAGGATTGTTGATTATGGTCCCATAGACTAAAACTCAAGCCTAAGCGCGAACTAACTCTCCCATCTGTCAAAATCGCAGTTAGGAGACTTAGTTTGCACGTAGACGCGTCTCTTAACAGGCTAAATTCTTAAAACCAGCTGAAAAATCCGAATTCGCGCCCAGATCTAAAATTTGGCGTGTCCTAATCTGGCTCTTGGTGGGAGCAATGGGGTACCGGGGAGGGGGAAGTCTTGAAGGCGCGGGGAAAGAGGGAGGAGTAGGAAGGTGGAGGCTCGTACTCTGGCGGTGATGGGAGGGGGTTGGAGAACATTTGGGAAGACGCGGTCATCGCCACTGAAGGGGAGAGATCAACACACGAAGGCGGAATGTTTAGCGGCGTGTCTGAAGGCTTGGAACGCTTGCAACAGCATTCTGGAAGAGTAATTACACATAAGTCTGAGTGGGTACTAAAAATGGCGGATAGAAATTCCATATTTTAATTTGTAGAACAACTTTAATTTAGACGACAGTCTAGCTCAGAAAAATTATCAAAAAGAAACACAATGATGGTACATCCGTGGTTCCTTCTTCTTTCTTGAATATTAGACCACAAGCCCATGAACAAAAAATACCTGTGAAATGACCCAACGAGAATTACGCTTAGAAGGCTGTTACTATATCTGAAAATAGCTCTGAGCACTATGCCGTCATTTCTGAGCGGTACATGTGAGTACGTGAGTGAATGGAATTTCTCAGATACGAAGGAGGAATTTCGACTAATTATTAATGTACGGCTTTGTTATAAGTGTATAGATGATTAAAAATAAATGTCGAAAAACCTAGTGCCGTACTAAAGTGATGGTACCGGAAGTCGGAAGTTTCACGCAAGTAATCATTAATAGAAAAAAGTTAGATTTATTTTATTATTATATCTGTGAGCTATTTTCAGATATAGTAACAGCCTTCTAAGCGTAATTCACGTTGGGTCATTTCACAGGTATTTTTTGTTCATGGGCTTGTGGTCTATATATCTTATACGACATAATAGTGTACTCTCATTCTAGAGGTCGTGCGTTCGATCTCGGCTATCAAGCATTTTCTAAGCAAAGCAAATAACAGGCATGTCTTAGACCCTAAAGTCGATGTCACAGATTACTATCCTAATAATCCGCCATCTTGAAAACCAAATCAACCAATCTTAAAAACAATTATTTATTCCAATACTGTTTTTGTATACTTGTGTGTCCTAATATTTTTATAGAGATTTGTCTGTTGCGCTAAGATTATTTATTTACAATGTAACTGATTCTCTAACGTTTTAAATCCTGGGGCGCTTTGTGGTGATGGAGTGATGAGCGCATCTCAAGCGATAGCTTTTCACTTTGTTTCCATACGTTTGTCCCTGTGGAAGTATTTTGTTACTTACCCCAAGCGAGACAGAACATGAGTATCACAGCACATCCGATCATCCCAACGACGATGTAAGACCAGGGCCCATACGGACGCAGGGAATTCGCGAACTCAATAAAAGCGTTTGATTTGGTTTCGCTTTCGCTTATTTTCACTGAAAATATTAATTATGACTTATTCGTTTGTATGAAATATAAATTAAGCAGTGTTGGCCTAGTGGATTCAGCGTGCGATCATCCTTGAGGTCGTAGGTTCGAACCCTGTGCACGAATTGTCTTTGTATATGGAACAGCGAAGGAAAATATCGTTAGGAAACCAGCTTGCCTCCGCAAAAGTCGACGGCGTATCAGGCACAGGAGGCCGATCACCTACTTGCATATCAAATTGACAAAAGATCATGAAACAGATACAGAAATTTGAGGCCCAGACCTAAAAACAAAGGATTATGTTTTTTTATGTTGAACTATAAATTAAATATTTGTTTAATTATGTACATTAAAAAATGCATATATTGTAAATTGTGTTTAAAATTTAACTGTTAATTGAAATCATTTAATTTTTATAAAAGTATAGGTAGTATATAAAAATGCATTTTTTAATTCGAGAGAAATTCGAAAGTTTGATTTTTTATTTTTATTAAGTTCTTTTATGTATTGGTAGGTAATATACAGTCTTCCGAATCCAAAACGCTATCAGCAACGATATTCAGGAATCGAACCCAGATTCATCGCCACGCTACGCCACACATTAACAGATAAATTAAATACATACTTATAACCGAGGGCTTCGTCATCCCATCAGGCTGATCCAGGCCTAAAAACTCCTGGTTCCTAGCCGCTATCCTCCTCAGTACTTCCAGAAGTGGGGAGTCCCGGCGGTGTGAGCAGGCATTCGTGTCCTCATCCTCGCCTCCCGGGCAATGCCTCACGCCATCGCATACAAGGTAAGACGATATGCAAAGACTTGTCAAGCCGCAAGTGAACTGAGTATCGTTATTGCAAACTGCACCTGGAAATTAGTCATTTGATTGAATCTTATTATCATTTATTATTGAGACTCGAACTCTATAGACTGTTACAATTGAAATCTAGAAGTCGTTATAATAAGCACTGGTAAATAGGTCTACTATTATAAAATTGGCGATTCAAAAGAGTAGCGGAGAGTTTATTGCCAGTTTCTCTCTTCCGTTCTACGCCCTTGATTTAAGAACTGGCAGTAAATGTAAAATTAGAAGCATTTAATGTGTATTTCTTTTTTGATGTTTCATGAATAAAAGATTTTAACTTTGACAAGGATAAGTAGCAAAGGTTATATTTTAATATCTATTAATTATTATAGATAATACTTAAATCTATAACCAAAATGGTATACCTTTAATAAAGCTTTGGGTATATTATAATATTCTTGTCATGATTGGAAATAAAACGGGCTTTATTATTGTTATTGAGCAGTGCTGGCCTAGTGGCTTCAAAAAAAACCCCAAAAAGTCGACGGCGTGTGTCAGGCACTGGAGGCTGATCACCTACTTGCCTATTAGATTTAAAAATGATCATGAAACAGATTCAGAAATCTGAGCTACAACCTAAAAGAGGTTGTAGCACTGATTTATTTTTCTTTATTATTGTTATTAATTTTTTTATTTATTATTGTAACATCTTAGGAACCTACCACTGTTAACAGCAGTGACCACCAGCCGTAATTTCTCCGTGTGGTGGTAGGGAGTGGTAGGAGGGTTCCACACTATTCTGAGCTTTGGTGGTAGGAGCTTGGTACCCGCCCGCGATGCTACTGCTGCCGCGTTACCGCCACAAAGCGATAACTTCCATATTGGCTTTTGTTCTATGTACTGGAATATTATCAAAAGTTAGTATGAATTATGTTGGCTATACGTATATATAATTAGTATTAGTATATTTTATATCTAAAAGTGGATGGCCAGGTCTGTGAAGGACACTTGCTGTGTCATGTATCTTCACAAACTAATAATGGGCGGACGCAACCGCCGCATCTCATGTCGGGCGGATAAGGCTCTGCTGTTACCGCATCCCGCCTAAGGCGATTGTTAGTGTCTTCTTGGGGTTTTAGTGCGCAATTAAAATGCACAATCGCGACTCCCACATCCTTCAAGAAAAGAGCGTACAATGCAATGTACTCGCGAGCCCTCTGAGCGAGTGTCCATGGACTGCGGTATCACTTAACATCAGGTGGGCCTCCTGCCGGTTTGCAACCTGTTCTATAAAAAAAAAATAAACCTCCCGCAAGTAGTTGCGTAGTAGTTACTATACCTGTTGCCCTACCGCGCGGTAGGGTATTCGCAATGCATTTCCCCAAATAAAAAAAAATGATTAAGGCGTATGTATCCGAAAATCCTGAACCGCCCGGACATAAGACTAATTTCGCCACAGAAGGTGGAGAGGTGCAGAATTGTGTCTGCCCGGTGCCAATCAGCATGCGTCAGTTGAGACAGGAATAACAGGAAGTACCGAATTGAACAGACCTAGGAAGGTAACTAGATAACCACTATCAAATATCAGAGTTACATAAAAACCGGGTCCAAGGAGACGTAATGATTCAATATGTTATGATAAATTACATTGTTTACAATCGTCGCGGAAACATCTGGAAGGTTGGTCAATTCCCCGCGTTAACACCAATTAACCTTTGTTCGTGAAACTCAATTAATAAACACTTGCTTTCATAATATAGATAGCTGTGCCTATGTGAAAAGAACCATAAATACACGTCATCATTAAACAATAATAATATACTAAGATTATATCTCTTGTGGGTTGCAAGAACCCAATCAAATGGTCAATCCTCTCATTACGGGTCAATCTTTTCTCAAGGTCAAAGACCTATGTCAGAAATTACAGAAGATGACAACTTAGCAATGGCTACGTCAGTCATGACGTGCCTGGCAGGTTGAATGTTAACTAGACATTCAACCAGTCCATTGAAATGTTACATGGGCTGAACATTTTTTAGAGGACGCAATGTTATTTATTGGACATGTAGGGGGGGGTCAATACAAGCTTAAACCCAAGTGAAAAAATTTAAGAAATTAAAAAAAAGATTTTTCATTTTTTTACTAATAACTTTAGAATTTTTGACTTATGATAAAAAGCTACACAGACATAATTGTAGGCAAAGCGATTAGCTACTAAATATGTTACCACAAATTTTTTGTACGATGGATAGCTTAGGAGATATCGCCAAAAATGTGCTTTCACCCCTTTTTTCATAGATGGCGGCCGAGAGACAAGGGCGCCAACCCCACAAACTTGGGTTGAGTAATATATTAGATATTAAAATGTTCAGTTTGGCCCATAAATTGTAACACTTCAATGGAGTAAGTGACCTGAGAGCCCTTTGAGAATTTTTTTATACAGAACTAGGCAGACGTTTGGCCACAATCTCACCTGATGATGAGTGGGTGCCGCATTGGAGGGCACGCCTGATCATAACCCTGAGGTCGTGAACTTGGTTATCAATATTTGTTTCTTTCTGCGAAGTTTCTACAAGATAACTGGTAAAAAACTCAAGAATATCAGACACAGAAAACCTCCTGGAAGCTCTTGCTTTTAGCTACTTACAATTATAAGTTTGCAAGCGTCAGTGGCATTGGTGGAGCTGACTGTCTGGTCGCTTGAAGTCCGCTGCGCGTGGGCACTCCTCTGGCTCCACTTGCGACCTAACGCCTCTGGTGGCATGTCGAGACCGCGCTCCCATTCTGCTAAGGATTCCTGAAAGAAAAAGTCATATTAAGAATCGATTCACATTGACACCCGTGGAAAGTCTAGAAGTAGGTATGGTTGTACTCTCTAAGCTTGAAATTAAATTGTACGACAATCATTCATCTTTTATTTAACTATTATTAGGTACATATACAAATTTTCGTGATTTCTACTATTCAGCCTAAAAAACAGTCTGTGGGGGGAGGAAAGTTCTGGTTATCCTTCGACATAAAGGATTGACGTAACCACTGACTAGTGGCTAGGGGGACGGAGTACTTGTAAATAATCTTGGCGGTAGGAATAATTTTGTTATTTATTTATTTATAAGTAAGCTACACATTTTATAAAAGAAAACACTATATGCAAACCTAAAACATTGTTGAACAAAATATACGAAACAGAAAACATAAGCCAATTAAGTACATTAATAGATAAAAGAAAACTGAAATTAAACATTAAACTACAACTTAATATTTTAAAGAAAAAATAAATTTAATGTAATTCTGGAACGTAATTGTAGTCGTTAATGGCAGGTGTCACAAGTAGTCTTGGTAAATAGTTACGATAATATATTCTCTTTTACATTTCTAGGGGATTCTGATAACCTCCAATAATTGTTTAAGATATTCTATAAATGATCAATAGGCCGTATAAAACAGTTGTTTATTGTTATTCAATTAATCATATGCGACTAATACGTTTCCATATAACGCAAAACCACCTCTATCACACACCAAAGAAGGTTAAATACGTCGAGATCGAGTAAATATTTCATTGAATTCTAGAGATACCAGAGTTTTCTAAAGACTTATTAGTGTCAGGTGCATTTTTAACCCCATAATCGTTTTGAGTCACTCAGAAATGGGACATAGCACTAAGTCCGTCTCGCATATGTCAAGAATGTATTGGATTTTGACATAGGGAAGTCATAGCACGCCTTCATTGGTGGAAAAGGTACTAGGATACAAGACAAGATGAAGAGGTTGTAATTTATATTCAGGTTTATGACAGCCAAAAAAGTATTTATTCAAAAATAATACACTAATCCTCTTATCTACATTTGTTATAATTTAAACAAATTTACGTTTTATTGATTTATTAAATACTGAACTTTATATATTCATTTATCAGGGTTTAAAAACGCTCAGTTGTGGAAAGACGAACGTCGAGGTGATACGGGTGGAATTTCGTATATTGATGATGAAACTCAGCAGGTATTAATCCGAAAAACTCCTCTGAACACTCTCCATGGTAAATGCGGTAGAAGATGCAGATAGACCCCACATCTCTACGCAACGCCAAAGGATCAAAAGAGCAAGGAGATGGAGGGGAGCTCCCGCCCATAGGTGAAAAAACAAACTTGTATTTTAGGCATAGACATAACATTTATTACTTACAAAACACACACAGAGACACACACAAAATAACAATAACCAAAAAATATAAAAAACAATGAAAGACAATATTATAGAGTATTCGTATTTTAACAGTTGTTTATAAATCTTTGGCGTAAATTTTTAGTTGAAGCTGCTTTTAAAATTTGTGCAACATCTTTCGGAATTTCTGATGTTGCAATTAGTGCATTGTTCTGTTTTTGCAATTATTTAATATTAAATTTCATGTCGTAAATTAATTGTAATAAGCGAAACGTGAGAGTCTATTGCAAAAAAATGTGATTCTAATATATTACACAAGTAATAATACACAATTATATATAAGCAATAATTATTATTTTATATTTATGGGACAGAAGGCAATCGGTTTTGAATATAGTGACAACTGCCACCCATGGATATCTTATCTGTTGCCGACCTTTCAGGCAATGGTACGCTCTTTTCTGGAAGGCCTCTAAGTCATATCAGTTCGATAATACCTACTGGCAGCTGGTTCTATAAAGAGGTGGAGCGTGACAGAAAGTGCCGTACAAAGCGCTGTGTTGTTTTTATTTTTCTTTTTTATAGAACATGGGGCAAACGGGAAGGAGGCTCAGCGCCTTGCCGGCCTTTTTTAAATAATTAAACACTTATTTCGTTTTAATAACCGTTTTAAAAATATAGTGTATTTTTGAAATGCATTATATTCAAAATGTGCACATAATTGTAATAATTACTTGTTGTTACTATTTAAATGCAAAAATAATTGAGATTTATACGACAATGCAATTTTTTTTTATAATTACCTATACAATCCTAATTTGTGGATTTCAAAGCTATAGTAATCTACATCAAGGATCAATTTTTAGTTTATTTATAATGCTTTAAGTAATAACTAATAATAATTAAAAAACCTGAATAACGCTTGTACTTCTCATCACTCATTAAAACCCTTCAATCATTTAAATAAAACTTATAGCATATAAACGCAAATGATTTCATTTGTTTAATATACTTGCGTATTACTATATATCATATACGAGCCCCGTTGCAAAATAGTTCGTCGTCGTATGGAAAGTAGTGCAAAGCGTAAAATATAGAAAGTAAATATTGGTAAAATAATTAAGAAAGTTTAATAAAAAGTAAACCACAATTTGAGGAACATTTTAAAGTTTATTTTAACATAACTGAAATTCTTTCATGCAAAGTATAGAATTCTTACGCAAAAGTATTCGTGTATCCTTGTCACTCACGCAAAATAGTTCGTCACTTAGTTGTGTCGCCTAAAAAAAAGAAAAAAAAAAAAAAATAATTATAAATAATTCTCGTAAATTACACAAGACCCCCGAGGCTATTCATATTAAATTAAAATTAAAGGTGCTGTGGCCAACATGCGGAAATGCAGACAATACCCGGCTCTACCGGAAATTAGGAAGCAAATCTAGACAGACAGATCACGACACTCATATTACAATAGTGTAGGTAAATTATCTACAAGATAATTAACTGTTAAATAAAGTACTTTTAGAACCGGAACACAAACTAAAACACCTTTCATCATTCCGGTACGTTACAAACTGTTGGATAGATTGAAGATAATCTCTTCAGTCGCTAGCCCATGTCTGAGAGTCGAACAAGAAACATCTGGAGCGGATAATCTGTTTCCAGCGGTAACTGTCAAGCGCTTCCCTTATAACACTGTGTAATTTTGAGGACGATGAGTCTTTAAAGATTCCTGAAGCAATCGGCTGCGCGCAGCGAGTAGAGCTTGTCTCCTCGCGCGCTGCGGCCCTACCAAGGGCTATAGGACCGCCCCCATACCGCCCTGTGCCCAGCAGGGTGCGAAACTGAAACACCACCCGAAGGGGGCATACACCCCTCTCGAGGGAGTGTGCAACAAATACCACAACTCCTGCAACATATACAGTAAAGAAAATCCGACAGTTAACTGATCAGGACACGGCAAAAATTGTGTATCATAGCTACTTTCACAGCTTTATATCCTACTGTATTCTACTGTAGGGTGCTGCTGCAGAGGTTCAATCCATATTTGTGCTGCAAAAAAGTTATTTTGAGTTTGAGGTAACTTGATCGGTCCATCTGGTTGGTTAACGGCCAGGTCTTTTGCCATTTGTGTTATCAACCACGATCAGTTTCTCCAAGTTCTCATCGCCTCTGTATGGCCGAAATAAGATATAATGATGAAGATATAACGGTGTCGGCATATAATAGACATTCGAGTATGCGGAGTTGGATCAAAATCGATGTATTGGTCCGCTTGAAGATAATAAAATAGGGCAAAAGAAAATGTTTTTCTTATAGTATATTACGCTATCAAAAAAACATGTCAAAGTAAGGAAAGGAATCAATATCCCATTGCCATAGTCTCGTCTTGTCGACTCGTCTTTAGTGGGCAATTATTGTCTTCATGGGTTGAAGCAAAGATAATATGTCTACAGAAATTAAGAAGTGGAAGATTGAATAGCTGTTATTATATAACATTTACACACACAAACACAAAGTAAAATTAATTAATGTATTTATTGTTATTCGATAACTTATCCGATATTTTATTACTTATTCTGCTATTCGGGGCGGAGAAGAATCTACCAAGAGATAACTAACATCGGTCCAGCCGATCTTGAGTTATAAGTGGTGTAACTTTTTTTTATATATTTAGATATATTCATGTGGATAAAGCCTAGACTATTTCAAAATAACATGATACATTTGTATTTTAAAATTTTAACTCAAATTACTTAACTTCAGCCAGTTTCTCTTTGAAAACATATGTTTTGTATTTACTCAACAATACAACAAAGGGTATGGGTAAAATAAAGTGTACATTCATTGTTTCATTCATAACTCATATTAAATACTATTTCACAAGAGAAAACATTCATGCCACATATAAAGAAGTGTAAATATCATGTTTTGTGTATGTTATATATCCTAAAGTGATAAGTTGTTGAGTAATTTATTTATTTATTTACACTTTATTACCTTATACAAAAACTAAATATAAAAAAGCAGGTTTCATAAGTTTATAAGGCAACGGGCGGCCTTATCACTAACAAGCGATTTCTTCCAGGCAACCCAAATCAAATCAAAGTATAATATAAATATATAATAAAAATATTATTCATTATAACAATGCATTATAATGAAAGATTTTGGAACCCTTTTAAGTAAAAAATACCTCTGTCAGAGTTCCCAGCTCTTCCATAACAAACTTAATCAATTCCGTAACAATATATAACTGTTTACACGTGTGAGTGTATGTGTGCATGTGAGAGTGAGTGAGTGTATGTGTGCATGTGAGTGAGTGAGTGTAATTACATGTTTGGTCTCAGGAGCATCTCCAACTCTGCGTAAGGTGTGTTCTATATTGTAAAGACTATTCCCTAGTAATTAATACTTTCTTTTATATTATATTACCAACTTGATGTGACTACTTTTAATAATACGAGTTAAGATTATTAAGATTAATAAATAATTTAAATAAATTAAAATCACAGATTGGGTGAAATTATTATAGAAGTGAAACTTCTTTATCGAGGTTGGAAAAAATTTTAGTGTAACATTTTTTCGTTACGCGTCACATTTTTCGGTTACGCGCCATGTTGCTTTTTGAAGTCAACTGTCAAACTTCTTTATTGGCGTTGGAATGAAACTTCTTTATCGACGTATGGGAGAAATTTTGTAGCAAATCGTCACGTTTTTCAATGATAGTAATAATTCTATTACAATTAATGAAATTCTATAATAATCTTCGTAGTAATAAGGTAAAATGAAATATTTGTATTCATGTCTATGGTAATAAAAGCCTTTTGTTAAACTTTATCTAATTTAACGAATTTCTGTAAAGTTGCATATAATAGATCATTTTTCGAAAAATAAGATCATAAAGAAGTTTCACTTCTTACAAGTGTACACCTAGTACACGCACAATTTATTTTATTTATGAAATCTTTAACATTCAGTAATAAATATTCTTAGACTATATTGTATGCAAAATGCTAACAATATTTAATAAATCAATAATTAGTGATTTAAGGCTTTGTGAAACTCAATATTTTCTTTTTTGTCGATTCGTCACTGGCGATGTGTGATAACAAATTCGTCACGCGAACGCAGCTGTGATATTGTGAAAGCATATCATTTGTAAAGGCGAGAATTTCTCTCGTTGAATATTAACTCGCCTTTGTCAACGCCGAACTATCCCCTGTGGAGGAAGGAAGGTGCTGCTCGTCCGAACTAAAGACAGGATCCTCGACCAGTCTCACACTGACAGGCCCAAAGGCGGGTCGAAAACTCTTCGTTAGCGCGTTTCAGGTGATTGTAGCCGTTTGGTGGCGCTACAACCCCTTATTCATAAAAAATAAATCAATTCAATTGTATTTGTCTCTTTCCATCACATCGTGAATACAATTTGACAGAAGAGGAAGGTGTATTTTAATAAAAAGAGGGCAATTTGTTTTAGTATAGTAAGAGGGATTATATATATATGTGTATGATACATATAATAATATAGTTAACGAAATGTTACGTTAGCCCCGTATCACCTCGCACAAGCACGGAAGCTGGCCCGGCCGCAGAGCAGGCGGAAAATAATGAGCAGATGAAATATAAGAGTCTTTCCTCCAACAATCGACTTTGTTCTCTTAGGAGTAGAGACTCTTGGGCCGTACCATAGCACCGGTGACCCCAGAGCTGGTGCTTTCTTCGATCAACGAATAAGAATCCCAATACAGTGAGGAAATGCTGCCAGCATTAAAAGTACACATGAACCAATTGTAAAATTTGGTATCAAAATAGCTTTTTATATAATATCAATAATTCTAAGGTTTCTTGAAGAGAAGCCGTACGTTTGGTTCAAATATGCAATTTACATTTAATCGCGTTTAAAATAGGTGAAACCTTACAAATACAAGATATATTTAAGTTAAAATAGTCTATAATAAAATAGATAGAGGCTTAGTCATCCTCCGATCTCCAGTGGCGCTAGAACGTAAGATTTCTGTAGTATTTCGTAATATTTTGTTTCGTAATAAACAAGCGACCCACGCCATCTATTATTTCAAAGTCATAAATCAAATTCAAATTATTTATTTCAAAAGCCAGTTTTTTAAAGGTGAAAAAAAATCACGAGTTAAAAATATTTTTAAAAAATAACTAAAGACTTCCAAAAGGTAGTTTCAGTTGGAGAAGATTGGGGAAGAAACTCCATATTTACTCTTTTAAAATATTTTTTGCAAAGTATACATAGATTTGATAATTATTTGTGAAGACCATGTACCTAGAATAAAAAAAACTACCCCATAACTAAATTATTATGTAGATACATGGTGCCAGTGGCGTAACTATACCATCTGGGGGCCGTGGCAAATTCTTTTGATGGGGCCCTATCAGTAAAAATCGTCACGTTGTACTCAGTTTAATTTTAATAAACTTCGACATCTTCAGGGTACTCAATTAGACGTTGTATATGTCCCACTAATGGCCATACGCCTCCTCTCTTAAGCGAGAGGCAATGGGCTGTAGTCCCCACGCTAGCCCAATGCTTATTGGAGACTTCACTTTCATCCATAAAACATAATATCTCTTGGGCAGGGGCCCTCTTGGGTCGGGGGCCCGAGGCATTTTGTCAGCCCTGTCACCCTATTGTTGCGCCACTGCATGGTGCTCTCATATTCACTAGGCAATATTACAACTTTAGATTTTCCATTATTCTTTAAAAAAAAATTTAACATACAATCAAATAGTGTGTGAGTTAAGTTAAAATTAATTTCTATTTCAAATAATACAATAAAAATAAAAGCCTATATGAGTAGATTTTTTATATAGAACAGGGGGCAAACGGTCAGGAGGCTCACCTGATGTTAAGTGATACCGCCGCCCATGGAGACTCTCAATGCCAGAGGCCTCGCGAGTTCGT